TACTATCTACATAGTTAATATCTATAATAAGGTAGAATAAGGCGACCTATCCTCCCTACATATAATAGAAAGAGTTATTAAGTATAGCCCCCCTACCATACTAATAATCTACGTAGGGGACTTTAATGAATACTATCTAATATAGGACCTACTCTCCCCCTAATCTCATAAAGTAGAAGCTCTATATAAATAGATTAAAGAAAACCGCCTTAAACTCTAAAACTAGCCTAGAGTAGGTACCTTCTTTTATATAGGGATAGAAAGGGAAACGGTTATTAACCTATCCCTATACACTCTAATAATTACTACTTAAGTAATTAACTAGTAGTTATGAGAGAACCCCTTATCTAACTATAACGCTATTCTCTTTACTATCGCGTATAATGAGTTTCAGGATATACTAATACCTCTACTACGGTTTAACGTTAAAAAAGCTAACTAGGCCTAATATAGGTAAATCGTCTAAGAAGAGTTAAATAAGATTATGATTCTACTCATCTAAGCCCTTCCTAATAGGGTATAACATATACTCTCTAGCGGGATGTTAGAGGCCTAAGAATAAGTCTAGACTATTCTAGACTCTTCTAGACCTCTTCTATTACTAAGAACTTATTCCTACGGGTTCTTTTAGATTCTAGCCCTTATTCTAGATTGTCTCATTACTAAGGCCTAGAATCTTCTAGTCTAGATTGATTAGAAATCGTCTTCTATTAATAGAAGAACCTATTACTAATTACCTAGAGATAGAACTCTCTAGAATCTATAGGTTCTTCTATATAAACACCCTTAGGTAGCCTACTAGTTAGTCCTTTAAGGAAGTTCTCTTATAGTAAAGAATCTACTACATTCTCTACTATAAACCATCTACTATACGGTATATAATAAAGATATTACTTATCTTTATAGAATACCGCTAACACGGGACCTTATAAGAGGACCTAGACTAACTTAGATGAAGCCTTATAAAGGTAATAGAGATAGTAGCTAAATGTAGCATCCTATAGGTAATACCTAGATAGTAATAAAAACTATAGTAGTCCCTACTCCTTATAGCCCTAAGGATAACCGCTATATAAGCGAGGTATAGGGCATGTTAGGACTAAGTCGCATATATATAAGCACGGAATACGTATAATATAGCCATTAAGTAGGCAAAATAAGAGCACTAGAATAACTTCCTTATAAAAGAAATACCCTAGTCTATCTATAAGGTAATAGCGTACATAAAATTAACCTAATCTAAGTAGATCCCCTAGATACGTAACCTTTAAGATTAACTCTAATCATTATATAACGGTAAGTATACCGCCTTCTATTAGAAACTCTTCCCCCTACTACTATACGTCCCCCTACGCGAATAGATAAACTATAAGAAAGGGCTATAGGACTAGCCCTCCCTTATAGATAAGGAAGTATAGTATGCCTACTCTTATAAGATTAAAGGTACTACCCCTAGGCTAGACTAGATCTACTAAAGGATAATTACTAAGGCGTATAATACTTCTCCTAGAAAATTCACCTAGGTATACTAAACCTTCTTTACGTATAGATACTACCTAGAATGCTAGAGAGAAGTAGTAGGAGTAATACTTAAGAAACTAGGGAAACCTAATTATATAGACCTAAAAGCGTATAGAGTTATCTCCCTACTTAACTACCTAGGAAAAGTTCTTAAATATATTATAGTAAAACATCTTAGAGCGCTTTAGAAGCTACCTACCTCCTATACCTATCCTAAATAGGCGGATAACTATAGAAGTTAGTAATTAATATAGTAATAATCCTTATATATATTATCTAGGATGAGAGGAGGGTATAGCGTAAGATATTAACCCTATTCCTTAACATATAAGGCGCCTTTAATCATGTAGCCTATAACTAGCTCTTATATATAATAGGGGAAATTAGGCTCCCTACTTCCCTCCTAGCATAGGTAAAGACATTTACTAGCGGTTAATAACTCTAGATCTCCTTTAATAGCTAATAAGAAGACCTTTATCTAATAGTTTTAGGAATCCCTTAAGGAAGCCTAGTCTCCCTAATCCTATTTCTTATCTATATATGAAAGCTCTTTTCCTCTTACTTAGTAAGATTCCTCTTATATATTAATAATGTTTTAATCATAATCTCCTTAATGAGTTAGAAGAAAAATGCGTAGATCCTCTAGTAGGAAGTAACCTAGCTCTTCTTACTTAGAACCTAGTATGCCGTTAACTTTAATAAAGATAAAATAGACCTTATCTATTTTATAAGCTTAGATGAGGCTAAGGTAGCTATAATTATACTCCTAGGAGATTATATAGTAAAACTAAAGTAACTCATCTAATAGCTTAGGATATAGTTTAATATATACCTATTATTCCGGTAGTATATAATAATTTAAAATGCCTAAGTAAAGTAATTACTAGGATGACTTATGTAGCTAGCTAATATATAATATAGACTATCCCCTACTACCGTCTAATAGCTATACCTTACTTATATATAAAGTATAGTAGATTATAGGTCCCTAGTTTTCTAGTAAGTTAGTAGCTCTAAGATACTTAGACGAACACTTTAAAATAGTAGACTATACTAAATCCTAGGAGCCTTTTACACCTCCCTAATTATTCCTATAGAAATTAAAGTAGGCCTTCTCCCCCTCTACCTTAGGAGGAACATGTTACTTTAAGTATATACTATAAGACTCTTTAAACTTAGTTACTAACACCTAGTATATATAATTATTAATAAGTTTAAACTAGAGAGCATACTAGAATACTAGATATAACTTAAACATGTCTAGAACATAATTTTAGACCTAGTAATAGGTACTAAAAGCCTAATTAAGCATGGTTCCTTTCCCCTATAGAAAAAGACTACACCGTACGAAGTTAAGATTAGCTACCTCTAAAAGGAATAAGAAGCCTAAGTACATATTAGACGTATAGGATATATAACTTAAGTAGTTATCCTATATTCTAACGCTTTATCTATCCTAAAAGGAAATAGAGTAGGTATAGGGATTATAGTATATAATACCTAATAAGATATTATAAGAGTAGTAGTAAGATATAGAGTAAATACTAGACTATACTAGCTCATATATAATAGAGAACTAGAGGTACTTATAAGGGCTATAGAGCTAGCTACCTAGAAATGGCCTAGGTAATAGATTATAGTATATATAGATAACTAAGCTATACTATACTGCCTCTAAACCCTATCTAACCTACTAGGTTAAGGTCTATAACTTTAAGCTATAGATGTAGGCTACTTAATTATAGCTAGATAAGGTAGTCTTACCTTCTTATGGGCCCTAGGCCATATAGGGATTAGAGGAAACCTATAAGTAGACGCCCTTATAAAGGAGGCTACTAGGCTAATCCTAGAGAATAACTACTTAAGTACTACCCTCCTTAGGATGCGCGTATAATAAAGAACTATAGTAGAATAGATAATATATACTATATAATACTAGGAAGTATAGATACTACTATCCTAGGGATTATATATACGTAACTTCCTACCTATACTAAGGATGTCTATCTAACTCCCTAAGTATAGATAACTAGAAGCATTAGCCTACTTCTAATTAAAACTAAACTATAGCTACTTTAGAGCCTACCTAGTATAGTTTAGTAAGATAGACTAGGATAATTATAGCTATAATAATACCGCCTAATAAATACTATAACACCTTATTAGTAACTACCTACTCTATAGCTCTACTAGGAGAGAAGCTATATAGGTAGCATATAAGGCGTATAATAATAATAGTAGGAAAATAGCCTCTATACCCTATAGAGAGCTATTCTAAGGAGATGTTAGTAGATAATTTATACTTAAATTCATATATTAGATGAAGGTTTCTACTAGGGTATAGCATATGTAAATAGTAGACTAAGGGAAAAAAGAAGAGTAAAAAGAAGAGGAGAGAATCTATTCTAATCTCTACTAGTAGAGTGAATAATAAGCTCCATAATCCCTCTACTTATAGTTCCTATAGGTACTACCCTAGAACCCCTCTAACTAAAGATAATTAAGGAAAGGACCCCTTTATCTATAATCTACCTAACACTCTCTAGGCTTATACCCCTCCTCTACCTTATATAGAGCCTCTACTAAGACCCTAGCCCTCTAGATTAGGAAGGTATTAATATAGCTTAGATGACTACTCCGTAACTACTCTAGCTAAATCCTCCTACTCCTAATAATAATTAGATAACCGTTTAGTAGTAAGGTAAGGGCTTAATACTATTCATCTATATAGTATACCTAGGCTAGGGTAGCATATAGAGCTCTATTATTAGTAATAATATTAATATACGGTCATCTAATAGCGGTAATAGGGCTAGATTAAATTATAAGTAACATTAATATAGATTAAACCTAGGTTCTTTAGCGTTATTTATTTTCTATAATAAGTATTAGCTAACTATACTAGTTAGCTAGAAGATATATACTGCTAGTTAAAAACCTTACCCGCCTTTTTTACCTTTATAGGTGCTAAGAAAGGTATTATATAATACTAACTAAAAAATAGTACTATTAGGGATAGTACTAGAATACTATAGTAGAGTATATATATAATCTACCTTACCTACCACCCTATACTATATTTACTTTTCTATATATACCTTCTTCCTATCCCCCTTCCTTTCCTTACTCTTACTTCATACTACCTATCTACTTAGATAATGGTAGGAAGGCTAGTTCTTAGCCCCCCCTTACCTAAAAAGAGCCTAGATAAACTATCTATCTATAATAACCCTATACTAACATTATACTAAGAATTATACTTTATTATATAAGATTCTTTAGCTAGGTATCTCTACTTATCTTATAAATATATATAGTATCCCCTATAGATAGCTCCGTCTTAGATAGCCTATAGCTCTAGTAAGACATAAAATAATTAATTAATTAATTAATCAATTAATTAATTATTTAATCTTGCTACGCTCCTTTTTGTTAAAGTCATATAATCTCCTATGCATTCTTGGCTTTATAGTTAACGAGCGGGGTTAGTGTAGTTAGTTATCACGTCAGTCTAACATACCAGTTCTAAGCAATTAGAACTCTTGAAGAGCACTGAAGGTCGCGAGTTCAAGTCTCGCATCCCGTAAATTTCCCCTTTTTGCTCAAAGGGGAAACGCAGGAGAAGTTTTTTTTGCTCTCCCGGAGTCTGAGCAAGCAGATCTTGCCGAGCGGTGGGGCGGGACGCCTTGTGTGGAGCTTGCTGGGCCTGTGCGTGGTCTAAAGTGCTAATGTACAGTTTGGGAACCAGAGTAGATGATGTATATTTGTACGAAAAGGAGTTTCATCAAGGGCCCATATCAAACGTTGGTCGTTCAGCAGCTCGGCTCGAATGTTCTCGGGCGATTTTCATATTAAAATCCGCTTTTTCTTTGCTGAATCGGCCAATGCCGCCTTTCCTCATACTCTGTTTTGACTGACCTGCGAGGGAAACATAGGTATTTCCGCCACCAAAGAAGCCTGACTGGCGCGAAAATAAGAAGACCAGGAATCAATGAAAGAGGAAGAAATCTGCCGAGACAGGGGTGGTTAGAAGCGTGGTGGCGCTCGGCATGCCGAAGTGCAGAGCTAGGTAGCAGCTCTTCGGGCCGAGTGAACGGCTCGGGATCTCGGGATTCCAACATCCGATTCTGACCTAAGAACCTACGGAAGGTGAAGATGGCAGTCTATTTGTCAAGGTGGAATTGAAATGTTTTTGGGTTGATTATCTGGGTTTAGAGCTTGCGCCAGTCTACGACGCATCGGTGGTCGGTGTCGTTCAACAGATTGACAGGGATCATCGTCCAAAAGCTCGGCAGACGTCTGACCATCGTCATTCGAGATTGACAACACCACACAACCCAACTCCAACCCCAGCGTCCGCCACAATGCAGCCCCGAAGCGCGCACTGGATTTACCACTCTTGTCGCCGTACGAGCACCTTCAGATTCTCACTCGCCCGCCGACGAACCTACGCCACCGCCGCCACGAGCTCGACGACCGCCAAACCGGAAATATACGATGTTGTATGTGTAGGTGGAGGTCCAGCAGGTCTGAGCCTGCTTTCTGGACTGCGTAGGACTATTACCATTCCAAAATTCAAGGACAAGAGCTTGGAAGCTAATGCGACGCAGGGTCCTCGCCAATCACCGCAGGTCTCAAGATGGCCTTGATCGAAGGCCAGGATCTGGACAAGGGAATGTTGCGGAACTCGTCGCCAACGATCTATGCAAATCGATGTAGCTCATTGACACCAGCATCAGTCGAGAATCTCAAAGGTAGTCGACCCTTGGGAACGCAAGGCACTGGAGCAAAGAACTGAGAGAAAGACAGACATCGGCGCATGGCAGCATATAGACCACGGCCGCGTACGACCGTATCAGGAGATGCAAGTCTGGGACGGTGTCAGCGATGCACGCATTTCCTTCGATTGGCCTTCAACAGACACGTTCCTCACGCCTCGCCGTCCCACCGACCCTACCACCATCGCCTACATGATTGAGAATGCGAACCTCACAACTGGCCTTCTTACGCGCCTCAACGATCTCGGTGGCATCGATACCTTCTCCCCTACTCGTGTCGAATCCATCGCCCTTGGCCCTGAGGAGCCCTTGAATCATTCGGGCCCCGATCTCCACTCCTGGCCTCATGTCACACTTTCAAACGGTCGAACGCTTGCCGCGCGCCTGCTTATTGGCGCTGACGGCGCAAACTCCCCTGTCAGGACATTTGCGGGCATAAATTCGCGTGGATGGGACTATGAGAGACATGGCGTCGTCGCTACATTGCGCCTATCTGGCGACATGCCTCAGATACGGACCGCGTACCAGCGTTTCCTGCCTTCTGGTCCTGTCGCCATGCTCCCGCTGCCTGGCAACATGGCCACGCTCGTCTGGTCAACATACCCAGCTCGCGCGGCATTTTTCCGCAGCCTTGCCCCCGCCGACCAGGCCGCCCTTATTGACGCGGCCTTCCGCCTCTGCATCGCCGACCTAGACTACCTGCACACCATGACCTCTGGCCATGCCGACGAGGTCGCCTGGCGTCTCCAACACAGCTCATTCGACCAAGCACGCGTGCCAAGTCGTGTTGCCGCTGTGCAGCCCAACTCGGTCGCGGCATTCCCCCTGCGCATGCGCCACGCCGACGCCTACTCGGGGCACCGTGTTGCTCTCGTCGGCGACGCCGCGCACACTATCCACCCGCTCGCCGGACAGGGCCTGAACCAAGGCCAGGCGGACGCGGCGGCGCTCGTGCGCACAATTTCCCATGCCGTAGCGGCGGGTGATGACATTGGAAGCACGATTGCTTTGGAGAGCTACGACGCTGCAAGATGGCAGGCGAACAATGCGCTCTTGGGTGCGTGTGACAAGCTTCACAAGCTGTACAGTGTGGGATGGGGTCCGATTGTTGGCTTGAGGAGCTTAGGTCTGAAGGCTGTGGACAGTGTCGGAGCGGCAAAGGGGTTGTTCATGGGGATCGCGGCGTCCAATGGACGGTAGGTTGGACGTTGTGTGCCTAATATTTTACTCTCACCTGCCCTACTGTCCAGGAGTCTGAGGTTTAGTGCAACGAGGGTGCAGAATTCACGGATTAAGATGGAAATCCCACAACTCCTCGAACTGACTCATGTCAATGTACTATACATGCCTACCAAAGCTCTAAGAGGAACTGAAGTCGGACCTTACTCGGTCGCAAGTGCCGTGATACAACATCTTCTCCCTTTCCCAAGTCAACAGCCCGAAACCACTTGGGCCATCAGCGCGGTGAGTCTACGCGCTACCAAGCTGGTAGCCGTGAGTCTCTGCTGTACGTCAAAAGCTCTTCAAGTTGTCTGAATCTATGATTCCCGTAGAAGTCGTCCTTACATCGCTCGTCTCTCCCTACTGACTCTTGAGTTCCAGCTCACCTCAGCCCTCCTACTCCCAATCTCTTCATTTTCGTCTCTTGAACGATTGAACGAGAGCCAGTCGTCGACCCACTGCTACGCTGTCCAGCTCTGAACCCACTTTTGACTCGAAGCCACCTTGAACCCAATAATTGAATGGCGAATTGTCCAGCGTGGGGGGGGGGGGGGGGCTTGGAAACTCGAGCAAATCTCGGACCTAGGTTTTTGGGCTCGTCGAGCACAGCGGGAGTCCAATGGCATCATCCATCAACGCTTCCCAGAGGAAGCATGGACCAGGAGTGTTTACACAGTCTCGAGAGAGACTGTCGTGTCGTTAGCGACAGGTTGGATGACATCGTTCACCGAAAAAAGGCGACACGGCGTTCATTCCCTCGTTTCCATCGGCCTGCCCTTGCGGTGAAAAGCGGGAAAGGGAATCGTGGGTGTGTCTGGTTCTTCGTTGAAGGGTAGGTAGGCCTGTGCATCTGCTGTGGCAGTTGGTTCTCTTTGTGAGCTGTTTTATGGCAGCGTTGAGAGGGAGAGGGAGAGGGAGGGAGGAAGGTGGTCTACTAGCCATCGAATGGAGTCAGCTAGGTGGATGTGGCTTGTTGACTGGCCTTGAGCGTGCTCGTGCTGTGAGGATTGAGTGGGAGAGATATTCTTGCCAGACCTCCGAGAGAGATGGTGTTTGTGTTCAATTTGGAAGCGGGCTGCCAATGCTTAGGACACCACTGGAGAGGCCTGAATGCCTAGTCTTGTGTCATCATCAGGCTCCTCGGTTGTTCGAAGGTACGGATACGCATTGGTGTGAGAGACAAGAATCCGAATGTGCCTTTGTAGTAAGTGATTGAGTGTAAAGGAGTGAAGGATGCTCTGGTAGATCTCTCGTGCCTACGGATTCGGATTCTGTTTTGTTTCCTTGCTGACTGGCCAGCAAAGAAATCACAAAAGAACTGTCCAGTGAAGAGATGCCCTTGCAAAGACCCAGATGTCATTGGAGTTGACGACAACGTAAACCGGAAAAAAAAGAACAAACCGGAAACCTTGATCCAAGACCACAGGACATGGAGTGCATTTCCTTCGTCCATCAACTTCGATACCAAGGCGTACGAAACGATACGTCGGGCAACGAAAAACAACCAGGCAACACCCATCCGTCACCAGAAGAAAAACAACACCACAGCAAGCCACAGCTTGCTGAAAGGGCCCTTCGAAACCCACCAAGACGGGTCCCACCGTCACACATACAGCCGTCGATTCAGCCATTTTCTTGGCCCGACGTGCGAAGTTGGACTGCCACCGCCTCCAACCAGCCTAGCGCGTCACCCAATCAAGCAAGTATCGTCTGGAATATGGGAGGGGGGGCGGCGGCGGCCAGGTGGGAAAAGGGACGCCAAGGTAGATCGCCGGTGGAAAAAAAAAAAAAAAAAAGAAAGATTATAGATGCAAGGTGTCTGTCAGTAGTTGCGCATAGGCGCCGCGCGCGTGGGTTCGCGAGCGAGGCAAGGGGAGAAGGAAGAAATAAACATGGGCAGGGCAGGCCAAGCAGTCGGGCTGGAATGCAGGGGGGAAACTGACGGGGATGGGATTGTCGTCGGCAGAGGAACGAGCTCACTCTCTCTCTCTCTCTCTCACACACACACACACACACACACACAGAGTCCTGACATTGCTCATGCTGTGCACGCTTGCACCGCGCACGAATCAGGTCGTCCGGTTGCCCGAATTCGTATCTCGGAGCTCCGAAGGACGAGGACGCCGACGCGGACGAGGCCAGCGGGTGCGTAAGAAGTGCAGGTGCGGCATCAGATAACGACATATGATGGCGTTGCGGTGCAGGGTGTTGGCATCTGGACGCGCTGGAACGTTTTCGCTCCGTCTGTACTCCGCTTTTGTGGACTGATCTTCATGCCCCGGGCAAGGAAAGGCCGTTGTGGAAAGGACTGCCATGCCTAGGTGCAATGAAAATGCCACGTGAAAGATTGTTGCGTTCTCATCAGGTCGAGATTGGTTGAGAAATTGGTGGCGTTTCCTCCACTGACTGTAGATTGACTGGCTGATTGGTTACATTTTCCAAAATGTTCCGCTCTGTATGGGAAGTCCAAGTTTTACCTCATGAGCGAGCTACCGTCAAGATGAATGTGGCCATCTGCGCAAGGGTTTTTCAATCGAGCTCAGATCCGAGCAGGGTGGCAACGAAGTACGTTAGAAGATCCGGGAAG